AAAAGTTTTTTCAATCAAATTGTATTTTTATCTGCGATTTATTATTACGACTGCCTCAATGAATAATTTTGTTTCGATTTTAAATAAGGTGTTGTGGGAAATATATAATTGAAATAATCGTTATTACAATAACTTGTAAAATGACAAAATACAACTTCAATGTAACGATAATCGGAGATAAAGGTTTCGTCATACAGTCGATTGGACTGATACAGTAGAGCTCATCTGTTTCCGTGACCTCGTCATGTAAACAAATAATGTGTTCTCTGTAGTCTAATGTGCCTTCGCTTTAGTGACGTAGTTTCGGTACCTATAATAGTTGGGCAGAATCAAGGGCGTGGTATGGACTTGACACCAACAATGGAACTCGAGACTCCCAGGGTGGAACTCATACGCTCTACCACGCGACCACGTTGTTTCACATGTTAGTTACGTTTGTGGTTATTTTCTGCTATTTGTTCAGGATATTGTTAAGATCATCATTTATTCACGTCCATTAATGATTTCGCTATTGCACTATTTTTTTTCTTAATGCACCGGAATCGTGGCTACACTCTGCAGTGTGTATGAGATTTATTTAAGGTAAGTAAAGTTCCCTTATAGTGCCTGACGGTCCTTGGGGCAGGTGAAGTAGGGTTCACCTGTTTCTATGACCTCGGCATATGAAGAGATAGTGTGTTTAGCTCGATGCCTTTACTTTCCCTAACGTGAGTTAGGTACCCATCAGAGCTGGGTGGGCTCAGGGACGGTCTACTGGCAATCAGAGTTTCTTCCAGGCCCCTTCCTCTTTCCCCCCCCCCCCCCGGAGAAAAAAGTCTGGAAGAAACACTGCTGACAATGAATCCGGATTCAAACTCGAGACTTTCGGGTTAGAAGTCAAGCGCTCTACCGCTAGGCCACGCCGTCCCATATAGTGATGCCCACCTAATCATTGATATTCTGATGTCAAAATTAACATTAACAGATAGACTGTGTTGAATGTGCTTTATACAGTGTCGGTTCTAAACGAGGAAATTAAAGTACATTGATTACTAATGCATAGAATGACGTCACACTTCTAGCGGGAGGGGGGGGGGGGGGGGGAGTTGGTAATTATTTTGACAATGTGTGGTGAGGAGAGGAGGGTGGGGGGATCGTATAGTGTGTGTGACGTCACACTTTTGCATTTAAAATATATTGGAAACTAAATTTTAGCCGCAATTTAAAAAAAAAAAAAATTTATTGTAATCGAAATCATTAAAATTACGCTATATTGACTGAGCTTAGTTATTAATTTAGAAATAAATCGATATCTTGAAAGAAATTAAACTGCAGTTTAGAGGAGAATTGTAGGCTGGTGTGTGGCGTTATTTTAGATGTGTGACGGTGGGAAGGGGAGGTAACAGTCCAAAAAAGCTTGACATCATTTATGAATTACCCCCCTTACATGTAAACTGTTTAACACAATCGAATTAAAATACTTAAAAAAAACTTTTTAAAAAACCACGTTTTTATTGTGGACTAAAAAGTAGAAAATAAATTTTTCTTCCGACCCTAGGGGATCTACCAATGACTGCTCGTAGATTTTGTGTTTTCTCGAGCTGTGCAGGTTCTTGTGATGACTGTTCATACATTTGATGACAAAAAATGTGGGTACGTTCACCATCAAATTTCCAAAATTCGTGTGTTGTGTGCTTTTCGCTTTAATCATAAATCTGCCCGACCCACGTTTTTTCCGTCCATCCCTCCTCGAACAGATTAACTGTCGATTCTCCACCCACCTTAAGCATTACACTGTAAAACATTTTAAAAAAACGTGGTTATAAAAAAAAGAATTGCACACCAAGTGAAAAGTTTCTCTTTCAAACCTGACGGTCTATGGGGCAAGTGAAGTAGAGTTCACTTGTTTCTGTGACCTCGGCATATGAAGAGATAGTGTGGTCAGCACTATGCCCAGCCGCCTTTACTTTCCCTAACAGGAGTTAGGTACCCATCAGAGTTGGGTGGACTCAGGGACGGTCTACGGACTTGAACTCAGATTCGAACTCGAGGCTAACGGGTTAGCAGTCCAGCTCTCTACCGCTAGACCACTCCGTCCCACACGAAGTGAACGCCTAATAAAATGTGTATAAAAGTGCGGGATATTATTAGTACTTTATAAATTTACATGCGTTTTTGAGAAATCATGTCCTCAATTTTAGGGTCCTAGGGGCGTAATTTAATTAAGCTAATTTTATGTCTCTAATTGCTAGTTTTTATGATTGCATCTGAAATGGTTAGGCGAAAATAGCCTGCATGCCGAATTTCAGATCTCTAGAGCAATCAGAAGTGGGCTAATTTTCGTTGTCAATTTTAACAACAAATAAACGCGAAGCTGAGTTAATAAAAACGTGTTAAAAAATGAATGCAACACAATCCGTTTTGTGATTCTTGTAAAAAACAATACAATTTGACATAATGATTCCTGTAATATTAATTAAGACAAGCGAACTAGGGGAAGTTATCACTCACTTAAAATAGATGTGTATATGTTTATACATTTAATTGCAAATGTCAAAACAGTCCATTAATTAATTTAGTATGTTACAAAGTACTTAAACACTTTTTTTTACAAATTGTTTTTTATTCAATCTGAATTAAATATCTTTTTGTAATAAATGCTAAAATAATTCAGCGTAAACTTTTTGAAATTAGAGTTGGTATAAAATTTCGCTATTTAATCAGATTGATGAAGTAAATCTAATGAAAAATTCTGAATTGCCTGTATATAACTAAAAGCACTATTTTATTATGTCAACCTTAGGTTGTCATCTATTTCTTTTTTTGTATTGTTAGCATTTGCATTCCAGGCAGTTATTCCCTCTGCGGCGTTTCAGTAAAATTAAATTTTAAAACTTAATACACATGTGTTTATCTATTCTCCTTCCTCAAATAGTTGTGTTTTAGCCGTAAATCTTCAGTGCCTTAGATGTAAGTTACGTGTTAGAGACTTGGTTACAGTTAGCGCTATGTTAGGATTTAAACAGATGCATTCAGATACTCACATACGAGTGTATATGCGTCATAAAATCTAATGAAATATAGTAATAAAATGCGTGCATTTAACGAAAAAAAAAATATATATATATATATATATATATATATATATATATATATATATATATATATATATATAACTAAAATAATGGGGTTTTTTGCTGTTCAGAGCTTACATGCTTGACTTAGCAGCTGCTTTTGTGTTCTTTAAAGATACTTTTTCATTATAATTATAAGGTATGGGTTAGATCACTGTATTGCTCTATTATCTCTTTATTTTTTAATTGCAAAAACAATATTCTCAGCGTTTTACCTGTTTCAGGTAATTTTCTTTTTGAGAAAAATGTTATCATGTTTACATAACTTCCTACATGAGAAATGTTATCTACACGTAACAATCTTTGTCCTAATAGTAAAAGGGTAGTCACATGTAGTGGAAGAACTATAAATAATTAGCACAATCTCTACCCTACCCAAAAATACATATGTATATATATATATACACACACACACACACACATATATATATATATATATACACACATATATATATATATATACATATATATATATATATATATATATATATATATATATATATATATATATATATATATATATATATATATATATATATATATATATATATATATATATATGTATATGTAACTGGTGTAGTTACAAAAACAACATAATAGTGTCTGTCAACAAGGACATGGTCAAGGCCAGAACTGAACTGAGTTATTTATAGTTATGATGCAACTGATAGACGTCTAGCTGGGGTGACTAAAATAGAATTTTACTTGTCAACTTGAGGACAAATGGACAAGTTATTAATAGAAACGATGCAATAGTTGGTATCGAAATAGAATGGTTTGACATTGTTGTCAACACAGGATGTACACCTGCGTGTGACTGTGACTGTATAAGAGCGATACTTTTGGGTGTGAGGAGAGCCAGACAGAAGATGTAGAGCGAGATAGATGTATGCAGAAACGCAGAGATAGAAGCTGTGAGCTGAGAGACAGAAGATAAAAGTGTTAGTAGATTGAGTTACGGAGTGATACAGTATGTGGACCTGTGACAGTGGAGGTCTGTTGAGATTCACCTATTTATATGAACTGATTATTCTTGAAGAAATAAAGTGAAGTAATATTGAACCTGCGGGCAGAGTGTACTTCTTTATAACAGGTGGGTGGATCGGTACCAAATGAGGTGTCCTCGGCCTAGAGGTGGGATTTCCTAAGCCGTCGACGAATACCTACAGACAGGAGGTTGTACACACCTCTGTCGCATTTGGGTGCCGTGAGGAAGGGATTGCACAAAACCTAAGAAAGAACGACACACATGCTGCTGCTACTACCCTTGGTCATATATATATATATATATATATATATATATATATATATATATATATATATATATATATATATATATATATATATTACTAATATTCAGGCGCGCGCGTACACACACACATGCACACACACACACACACGCACGGACGCACGCACACACACACACACACGGACGCACGCACACACACACAAACACACACACACACTAAACACACACACACACTAAACACACACTCAAATACACACACACAAAGATTTACTCTTATTATATTGCTGAAATATAAGACACAAGAATCGCTACATGACGATACTATTTTTAAAATCCAGATATTTGGTTTGGTTTAATTTGGTTTCAATAAAAAAAAATTTGTAAACGGAAAACAATACAAAGTGCGGTTTAAAGATAGTTAAAAGAAGACTTTGGATATTACTTTAAAAATTATATATTTAATAATTTAAATAGTTAATAGAATTATTTTTACATCGCATCACGCGTTCTATTCATCCAGCGTTTTTTTATGTTTTGAAGGCCACACGATAACCTATTTAGTACCGTCAACTTTCCCAAATCTATTTTCTAGTAAAATGTGTATGATAAACGAAAGAGTCCAAAGTTACTGTTAATGGGCCAGAAGTGTTTTCTACTGACCCACTTCACTTGCGCTATCTGTTATCATACACGAATGTCATTTATTGTTATAGTATAGCTGCAGGAGAGAAATTTTTGCAACACGGAAAAATATTTATTGGTAACAACAGGTACGTCTATACTATAATTTTCTTTTTACGTATATATATATATATATATATATATATATATATATATATATATATATATATATATATATATATATATATATATATATATATACACACACAAATATATATATATATATGTATATATATATATATATATATATATATATATATATATATATATATATATATATATATATATATGTGTGTGTGTGTTTTATGTTTTAGTTTATAAACGTGTTCTAGTGAGAATGCGCAAAATATACGTTTATTTATATCAAAGACTGATTTTATTGTGTTAAAATAGATTTTGTTTATGCATGAATACAATAAAGTGTATTTAATTGAGCATTAACAAATACATTGTAAGTTAACACAAGGAGACTATGCTATTTAAAACTAGGGTGTTAAATTAATATATTGATACCATTGTCTGCAGAAATAAACAAACCTGAAAAGAAACGTTTGATAATATAACATTGTATAATGGCTGGTAGTTGTTCACACCAGAAACAAAGTTTAACAATAGCCATTATCGGGAAAACAGGCACGGGTAGGAGTTCAACGGGTAATTCTATTTTAGGCGAGGATTATTTTGAAACGTCGTCTTCCACGAGTACCACACAATGTGTTTTAGCTGCGTCTAGATGGGCACGGAGAGGGGAGACACTCGTACAAGTTGTTGACCACCAACCTTTGTTGGGCTGTGGCGAAGAAGATGTCAATATAGATGAGCTAGCTCTGTTGATGACTGAGTGTCCTGAAGGGTTCAACGCGTTGGTCATTGTGCTTGCATATGGTGATAGATTCACAGACGAAGATGAAAAATGCGTGGTGGCAGTTGAGAGAGTATTTGGAGAGCAATGTTTAAGAAACAACGGCATCATCGTTTTTACGAACGGAGAAGATTTTGATTCGTATGATGATGATGATGGTGATGATGATGATGATAACGCTGCTTTTCTCAAGTGGTGCAAGCGGCAGTCTGGGCCTGTGAAACAGCTCTTCGAAAAGTGCCTCTATAGAATCGTTTTATTCAGCAACCTTGAGAAAAAAGAACAGTCAGTTAGTCGTTTTTTTAAAATAGTCTCTAACATAAAAGAACGCTATACAGATGATATTTTTCAAGTGTGTTTTGCAGCATATCAACAATTGCTTGAAGAAAACAACCTAGTTTATCTCAAGGCGAATATTCGAAAAAAAATTGATCTGCTGGCTTATGATGTTTGTCAATTTGTTGACAAATTATCAGCGCGAAATTCGATGGATATCATTATGAACACTGACAAAGTAAATATAGATTTTGAAAAAATCGATTTATCGATCAACGATTTATTAAATGAAATCGAAGAGCAAATACAAAAAAATTGTGCCCTGAAAGAGTTAAAATATAAAGTACAAAAGATAAAAAATGAGATTGAGGAGACTAAGGGTAAAATGCCGAACATATTGAAGTGGACAAAATTTAAGAAAAACCTTTTGGTCAGCACCCCTGTTGTAAATGCTGTAGCTGTTGCAATATCTGTGAAAGTAACACGCAACTGGAAAGAACAGTTCAAAAACGTTGTCCAAGCATTTGTTGACTAATAGTAGATAAATTGCAAGTGTTATTACCGATAACAGACTGGTGAAATGTGAAGTGGACGATACAGATACGACACAACTTGTTATGCGCAGGATATAGATGGTTTATTTTGAACTGTTTCGTGACAGTTGAAAATTAATCATCAAGATAGTTAGAATATTAAGATGTGTTAGAGACATTTATGAACGATTATAAATTATAGACACACACATTTTTTACATAAATCACTTTATCATCTATACATGCATCACAGTTTCCTTTAGAATAAAAATTTACTTATGTTTTCAGACTAGATAGTGATTTTCTAAATATAAAATACATCTATCCTGATCGTTACACTGTAGGAAACAAAATAGACCCCTACAGTTTTAGTAGCGAACAGTTTGTAACAAAAGTTAGTACATTTATTTAAATTTTCTTTGTATTGCTCTTTAAGGTTCACAAGCAACCAAAAAATAATTGGAAGTCAAAATATGTGTTTGATGACTCGTCAAAGCAACTTTATTAACGTCGAGGACAGATGCTGCGATAGTTAATTTAAGCAGGGTGATGTTAAAATAAAAATTATTCAAAAAGACTGAGAAATAATAATTGTGAGCTTAATAAAGAACCTCCTAAGATGGAAAATAATATAAGAGAATTAGACATAATGATTATTGGAAAAACTGGATATGGAAAAAGTTCCCTTGGAAATAGTATTCTTAACAAGAAATTATTTGATACATCGGATGATGTGAATTCTTGTACTAAAGATCCTGACTTAAAAATTCAGTATAACAGTGCTATCGATGCGCATTTCGGAGTGATCGACACTCCTGGATTATACGACACCAAACAGACAAGGGAAGCGGTTCTTAAGACACTTTGCTGTGCAATTAGTCAGTGCTGTAATGGTGTCAACGCAATAATATTAGTATTAAAATTTGGAAAAAAAGTTACCATCGAAGACAAAAATGTCATTATTGATTTCAAAACTTTGCTTGGGGAAGATTTTGTAATGAAGCATTGTATTATAGCTATGACAAACGGCGATAGATTTGATCGTCATCAAAAACAGAATCCAGGAAGTTTTGATGAATGGTGCCAAACACAAACAGGATTGTTCAAAGACTTGTTGAGTGAATGTAATAACAGAATTATTTTGTTTTACAACAAAAACAAGCCAGAATTCAAATCAAAACAAGAAGCTGCTCTAAGACAATTAGTAGATATGGTCCGAGATTTATCAAAGCGAAATGGACGATACAATGGGGGCTTATTAAAAAATCTTAGTGAAAAAAGAGAAGAATTTTTACAAAAACATAATCTTCATGAATACAGCGTTAACATACAGCGTGAAGTTTGTTTGCTGGAGGAAATGATTGAAAAAACATTAGAAGGTTCGAGCGCACACGATGAAAGCTTTATCCGCTTAATTAAAAACAGAGCCGAAAACCTGCATGTAAATGCTTGTGCGATTGATAACTTCCCAGAAGACACCAAGAATCAAATCAAAGAGCTTAGAGATAAACTGATATTAAACTCCAATTTTAAAGGTGCTTTAGGCGATATCGTACGTTTGAAAAAATCTGAAGCGGATCTTAAAAATCACAAGCCGTTTTTAACAGACTTTTTCGGTTGGGTGGGTGTAATCGTAGCAACAACAATAGTTACTGCAGGACTTGGTACTGGACTTGCCTATGCTGTTGCTGTACATAATATGGAGAAATCTGTTTGTACGAACAAAAACGAGACAAACAATGGCGGGTTGGAAATATATGATTAATAATGCTTGTGATTGCTTGTTATGGAATAAAACAATTAAAAAACAAATATAAATTCATTTAAACTATTTCACATTGAAAAATATATTCTATGCAAATGAAAATTACTGTATAGTTTTTTAATTTCTTACTATTTGCAAAATAAGTACCCTTTCGAACCCGAGGGGGCGTTTTCCTCAGTGAACTCGGCTAATGAAGGGATATTGTCGTCATCAATATGCCCAGCCAACGGTACTTTCACTAAATTTTGTCAGATATACATCATAGCCGTGTGACTCTGGGACGTTCTTCAAACACGAACTTGGGATTCGAAATCGAGACTTTCCTGTTAGCACTCGTATGCTCTTCCATCCTGCAACATTATCCCATTTACTACAAGTCTTGTACAACAGTCTGTTTTAATGTGTACAACACTTTAATTTCTTGTTACTTGTACATTTTATTTTTTATATGTACATTTTAATTTATTTTTAATTGTTCATTTTATTTTATTTTTAAACTGTACATTTTTTTTTTAATTCTGCATTTTAATTGTTTATTGCTTGGACAAAATTATAATTCTTATTGTTTGTACAAAGCGAATTTATTGATATGTTACAGCTATACATTAGAACTAATACTAAATGAAATAGGGGTAGATTTTAAACGATAAGCAAAAACAACGCGACATACACAAAATAAAGTACCCATTTAGATTTCACAGTTTATAAGGTAGATGAAGTAAAGTAAATAGAGATTTCAGTTAAAAAATGAACACTTTAAGAATATTACACAATTGGCGACCCAGTCGAGTTTTTTACTATATGCAAGTATTCCACAAACATACATTTCACATAAATACAGAGACACGGAGTCCATGTAAACCTGCTCTTACCACCTAAACCCCTGGAGGAAGCGGAAGAGAGGATTAATTATAAACTTTTTTTAAAAGAGAGTCCATTTCATCCGTATATATTAATGGACTATGCAAATATCACAAGAACCAACAATGGGGTTGCCCAGTCTGAATACCTCTAAGGCAAGAGCCGGTTAGATGAGTCACCCGGACTACGTTTCATTGGGCTTAATGAAATCATGGGCCCAACCCGTTTCAGCTATAACCATCTTAAAGGATCTACCTGACGATGAAGGACCAGACCTATTCAACACTCAAGCAATTTTACCAACCGTCATTCAAGAAACCATAAAGACAAAGGGCAATCCTAATCTTCCTGATCATTTCATTCGCAACATAATCAGCCCACGTCAGATCACCCACTCTCTTGAAATACTGACGTGCAGATACTTGGTATTTTACGTCCGAAAATTTCAACGCAGCGGATCTAAACAACAACAAAAAAACACGGCTACACTCTAGAATTTAAAATGTAGCCGGGGGTATAGAAGATGACAACTAACACTTCACCATTACCAAGACAACTTTCTTTCATTTAGACGTTTTGTATTAGTTTCCCACCATGATTCCATTTAGAGGCTCATATAATACAATTTATATAATGTAGAACATAGACATATTGTACAGACGGACCAGCGTGCTCTAAAATACCCAAACAGCTATAGATAAAAAAGACTTAGACGTTTAAGAAACAGAGGAAAACAGCTGTTTTTAAGTTGATCCGATCAGCTGTCAAGCTGAGTGAGAAAGGTCGATACACAAACAAAGAATTCGAGAAATGTTATCTGTAGAGGGAGAAATTATTATTAGAACATCAGTTGCCCAGGCTGAGTCTTGAAATACAACGAAAATGTAGTTTGTTAAAGTCACGAGTCAACATTGCCTCTTTGGATGATAATATTAATGAAAACAACTTAAAAACTATAAATCTGATGATTTGGTTGCATTTTTTATTGGGTGTTGATTTTTCATTGTAGAAAGGTATCTGGTAGCTTTGTTATTTTTCTCGTGTCATTTTATTTGAAAAATGTTTTAATGATCAAAGAAAAACAAACTTTAACTAACGTATTTGAGCTTTAGATAATTAGTGGGATGATGATAAAAAATGTTGAAGAACTAACCAAGAAGTATCAAGTGTATTTTTAATGTGAACAAACAATATGCGTCCTGTCAGAATACCACATTCAGTTCACATAAAAAATTATTCCATAGCAAGTACAGGTCTGAGACGACATTTTGTAAACGAACTCGACCTGCAACTATGTTTACACCCACTGGCAAGTCAGCAAAGGTTCCCTAATCTTTGTTTCGGCAGATCTCTCCAACATTTCCCACGTTCCTTTCTCCTCCCTTTTGAGGATTTCTTTACTCTGTTTCCTTAGTGATGTTTTACTTCCGTTATTCAGTCCTACATCCTGTTTATTAGTTTGAAATGGACGGATGTTTATTAACAGATCTTCCATTGACGTACTATTGCGCATGTGACTGGCCAATGTATTTTGTAAATGAAACCTAACTACTATTTAAAAAAGCACCAAATGATGCTGCATATATAATCTTAACATATATTCAGAGCAGGGGCGTAGCGAGGGGGGGGGGGGCGGGGGTGCGGACCGCACCGGGTGACACCATTTAAGGGGGTGAAACCAAGGCAAAAAATAGCAAAATATATAGGGAAAAACTTGAGGGGGGTGCAAATCGAAAACTTGAGGGGGGGGGGGGGTGCAAATCGAAAATTTGAAAGTTTCTCCCCGGAAGGGTAGCTACGCCTCTGGGGGTGTGACACCATTAAGTGCCGCACCAGGTGACACCCGACCTCGCTACGCCACTGATTCAGAGAAACTAAAAGGTAATATACATGTCTACTAGATTTAATGTTTTAAAATATTATAAACAAAATCATTGTTGTTTTAATTTGCTAGTTACATAAATGGAAAACTATTCCAGGTTAAATCATGTTTAATCTGAAATGTTTTGTCTTAGAAATTTGACTGATTTTGTTTCATGAGATTGTTTGGTCACAGATATTTTTCTAAGAAATGTGCTCTAAAATTAAAACTGCTTTAATTTCTACGGTTCTTCGGTATATTTCTTTATCTCTTGTGCGCAATATTTTTAACTATCCACTCTCTTTTCATACATTTTGCAAATGTGTATGTTTGATAATGCGCATACTTTCACAAAGTACAAAATTAACAAGAATCAATTACATTTTAAATCATTTATGACACAGAAAAAATATTTTTTAAAATTCTACAAGAGATTCTCTCAAGCTATAAAAAAAAAATTTTCAAGTTACTGTGAGAGATAGAGTAAAGTGTGTTTTTCGTTTTAATTATATTTAAGTACATTTGGTGTGACTTTTTAAAAGGGGTAGCTTTTCCAATAATCGATGAAATAATCAGCTAGTTCCGATTTTCCCATAGTTTATCGTTTTCTGGTAAACAAAACTTTCTCCAAGGCGATCATCGGAGATTCCATCCCCAACATAAGCAGGAAGGCGGCCATGTTGGATACCACCAGCAGACCTAAGAACGACACCACCTAAAGTCAAAAAAGATGTTATTATAATATTATTCTGAATGAAACTTTATAGATTTTAAACTATGAGGAAATGATAAGATTAGAATATTTAGTTGATGGAGGCTCGTCAAATGTTTATCCTGTGATTTAAATCGATATGATTGTAACTGGTAAAATAACTATTTGAGAAATAAAAGTGTTTGGGCATCTTTCTATAAACTACCAATCTCTTGATTAAATAGCTAGCCATTTTTTTTAGATTTCATCGTGTTTCTCTATACGAAATTTACAATACTCCATGATTTCTTGTGGAGGCTTATATAAAACAAGTTATATAGTGTAGAACCAGGGGCGGAACTACAGTGCCGCCAGACCCTGCAATGCTGGGGGGGGGTGGGCTGGCACGCCTTTTGGGGGCCCATAGCCGACCATAATAAATTTTTTATTGTTTAAAAAAAAAAAAAAAAAAAAAAAAAAAATATATATATATATATATATATATATATATATATATATATATAGGGGGCCCACAATTTTTTGCGGGGTGGCCCTTTTCTTCTAGTTCCGCCACTTTGTAGAACATAATCATCCGTACAGGTGTTTTTTTTAAGACGTCTGACCACCAGACGAAACAAAATAAAGTTAAACGTGAGTACGAACCAGACTGGAATCCATTAGGTGATACGCGGACTCCAGGTTGCCGAAATAGATGACCATGATGTAAGGATGGATGAGATACGCCATGTAGGTCAACCTGCTCAATGGGACAAAGGCTGACCAGGACAGGAACTTGTTGACTGGACCTAACGGCATATTTAAACATATGTATGGGCAGTTGTTTATCTAAGTATCAATTATAGGAAGAGTCGATAACATATATATATATATATATATATATATATATATATATATATATATATATATATATATATATATATATATATATATATATATATATATATATATATATATATATATATTTACATATATATATACATATACATATACATATACATATACATATACATATACATATACATATACATATACATATACATATACATATACATATACATATACATATACATATATATATATATATATATATATATATATATATATATATATATATATATATATATATATATATATATATATATATATATATATATATATGAGAGTGTATGTCTGTGTAGGCCCTATTTGTGTGTGTCTATGTAAAGGTGTGTGCTTTGTGTTTGGTGTGTATTTCTGTGTGTGTCTGTGTGAGTGTAGCTCCAGACTGACCTCCATATCCGCTCGCGCTGGCCAAAACAATCCACGAAATGCACGCGCCCCAGACCGCCCTTGACACGGCGTTGTAGAAGGCCGACACGGGCGCTGTGCTGTAGCGCTCACCGCTAATGTCACCATGGAGACCGTACAGGACCGCGAGCGCGCTGACAGTGGAAACACACCATCCTACCGCAACAACAGCCTGGGTGAGACAAAGGTTTGGATCAGGTTAATGATAAAAACTCCAAGAGTGAGTCGGCGTGGTCGAGTGGTAGAGCGCTTGACTGCTAACCCGAAGGTCCTGAGTTCAGATCTCTATCTGGATTAGTGACACAATCCACCCAGGTTTAATGGGTACATGAGCTGGACTGCTTACCCATACGTCTCGAGTTCGAATCCGGGTTCAAGTCAGTAGACCGTCCCTGAGTCCACCCAACTCTGATGGGTACCTAACTCACGTTAGGGAAAGTAAAGGCGGCTGGGCATAGTGCTGACCACTCTATCTCTTCATATGCTGAGGTCACAGAAACAAGTGAACTCTACTTCACTTGCCCTATAGACCGTAAGGTTTGAAAGGGGAACTTTATACACGTGAGGCAAAGGCCAATAAAAGTAAACTCTACTTCATCGTTAGATCTGAGAGGAGAACTTGACTTTCTATTACCCCAAGAATTGCTTCCTAAATACATTTTAGCTGAAGTAATTTTAAATATTATTATGTATTTTATTATATATCCACTATTTTTTAAAACATCGTGATAGGTCCCTGACTTAGACCTACCTTGTGTAGTCGAAGTTTCCCTTTCCAAGTAGCCAACAAGACCCCGGCCATGACCCCTATGATGTAGGGACCTATTCTACCGTAGGGGGCGAAATAATAGTGGGTCTGCCAATCTAGTCCGTCCTTTCTGTGGAGAAACAAAAAACAAAAAATATTACTTAAAACAATGCGAATTTAATTTATCTTTCAACTATTGACTGTCCTGTAACATTAGGCTGACCTTAATCTTAACTTAAACAGCAATACCACAAAAAACTAACACTATGAGGTCCCTATTGAATCTATGTAATATTAGATCCTGTTTTTTTTATTAACTCCCTAACCATATAATTGTAGAAGAGTTTAAGTTAGTTGATTATTTAATCCTCATTAGTTGTAAAAACAAACAAAAGTTACTGTTACGAAGAGCCAAAGCATTTTCTAATGTTATATTTAGGTCCTTAAAGGACGCTATCATGAACTCCGCAGCTCTCTCCATCTTCTTCTATCTCCCCTCTCTACCTCTTCCCCTGTATCTCTCCACACTGTATCACCAGCTCTCCACCCTCTCCCCACTATCTCTCCACTGTACCACCAGCTCTCTCCACCCTCTCCCCACTATCTCTCCACTGTACCACCAGCTCTCTCCACCCTCTCCCCACTATCTCTCCACTGTACCACCAGCTCTCTCCATCCTCTCCCCACTATCTCTCCACTGTACCACCTGCTCTCTCCACCCTCTCCCCACTATCTCTCCACTGTACCACCAGCTCTCTCCACCCTCTCCCCACTATCTCTCCACTGTACCACCAGCTCTCTCCATCCTCTCCCCACTATCTCTCCACTGTACCACCTGCTCTCTCCACCCTCTCCCCACTATCTCTCCACTGTACCACCAGCTCTCTCCACCCTCTCCCCACTATCTCTCCACTGTACCACCTGCTCTCTCCACCCTCTCCCCACTCTGCCTACTGTACCACCAGCTCTCTCCACCCTCTCCCCACTATCTCTCCACTGTACCACCAGCTCTCTCCATCCTCTCCCCACTCTGCCTACTGTACCACCAGCTCTCTCCACCCTCTCCCCACTATCTCTCCACTGTACCACCAGCTCTCTCCATCCTCTCCCCACTATCTCTCCACTGTACCACCTGCTCTCTCCACCCTCTCCCCACTCTGCCTACTGTACCACCAGCTCTCTCCACCCTCTCCCCACTATCTCTCCACTGTACCACCAGCTCTCTCCATCCTCTCCCCACTATCTCTCCACTGTACCACCTGCTCTCTCCACCCTCTCCCCACTATCTCTCCACTGTACCACCAGCTCTCTCCACCCTCTCCCCACTATCTCTCCACTGTACCACCTGCTCTCTCCACCCTCTCCCCACTATCTCTCCACTGTACCACCAGCTCTCTCCATCCTCTCCCCACTATCTCTCCACTGTACCACCAGCTCTCTCCATCCTCTCCCCACTATCTCTCCACTGTACCACCTGCTCTCTCCACCCTCTCCCCACTCTGCCTACTGTACCACCAGCTCTCTCCACCCTCTCCCCACTATCTCTCCACTGTACCACCAGCTCTCTCCATCCTCTCCCCACTCTGCCTACTGTACCACCAGCTCTCTCCACCCTCTCCCCACTATCTCTCCACTGTACCACCTGCTCTCTCCACCCTCTCCCCACTATCTCTCCACTGTACCACCTGCTCTCTCCACCCTCTCCCCACTATCTCTCCACTGTACCACCAGCTCTCTCCATCCTCTCCCCACTATCTCTCCACTGTACCACCAGCTCTCTCCACCCTCTCCCCACTATCTCTCCACTGTACCACCAGCTCTCTCCATCCTCTCCCCACTATCTCTCCACTGTACCACCTGCTCTCTCCACCCTCTCCCCACTATCTCTCCACTGTACCACCAGCTCTCTCCATCCTCTCCCCACTATCTCTCCACTGTACCACCTGCTCTCTCCACCCTCTCCCCACTCTGCCTACTGTACCACCAGCTCTCTCCACCCTCTCCCCACTATCTCTCCACTGTACCACCTGCTCTCTCCACCCTCTCCCCACTATCTCTCCACTGTACCACCAGCTCTCTCCATCCTCTCCCCACTATCTCTCCACTGTACCACCAGCTCTCTCCACCCTCTCCCCACTATCTCTCCACTGTACCACCAGCTCTCTCCATCCTCTCCCCACTATCTCTCCACTGTACCACCAGCTCTCTCCATCCTCTCCCCACTATCTCTCCACTGTACCACCAGCTCTCTCCACCCTCTCCCCACTATCTCTCCACTGTACCACCAGCTCTCTCCACCCTCTCCCCACTCTGCCTACTGTACCACCAGCTCTCTCCATCCTCTCCCCACTATCTCTCCACTGTACCACCAGCTCTCTCCATCCTCTCCCCACTATCTCTCCACTGTACCACCAGCTCTCTCCACCCTCTCCCCACTCTGCCTACTGTACCACCAGCTCTCTCCATCCTCTCCCCACTATCTCTCCACTGTACCACCAGCTCTCTCCATCCTCTCCCCACTATCTCTCCACTGTACCACCTGCTCTCTCCACCCTCTCCCCACTATCTCTCCACTGTACCACCTGCTCTCTCCACCCTCTCCCCACTCTGCCTACTGTACCACTAGCTCTCCAAACTCTCCCCACTACCTCCCCCCTGTACCACTATAAAGACCTTACTTAGGAGCTGGACCACTGAAGAGCGCCACGGCTGTCCAGTTGTTGTCCACTGACAAGACACCGGAAGTGATCATCTGGGCCAGCAGAAACACCAGGCAGCTGACCACACCAGCAGCATAGTGACTGGAGAAATAAGTATAATATAACAGTATGCGATAGACCATCACAGCACCATTATAACATCACAACCACTTATCCTACCGTCACAACATCATCCTTAACATAGGAACATCATACAAATGCAATCACTATACCACAGTCACACCATCCTTAACAAAGCACCATCACAACACAATAATCACAACACCATAATCACAACACCATCCTTAACATAGTCTAAGCCTAATTAAAAACCGCCAAAATAACAACATCATATCAAAACAAAATCATCAAAACAACTAGTAGCAAAATGAGTAGCACTTTTCATATTTAAAAAATTATGAACGAATTGGTAGTTTAAAACTTAAGATAAATAGTCATTGCCTGCCCAAACAATTCTCATTAAACGGACACACTGTAAAAGTATGAAACGTTTTCAGTGTGCACACAAAAAACTTACAAATAGAACAGTACGATCATCAATGGACTCAGCACATAGAACTTACAAATAGAACGTTCAGGACATAGAACTTACAAATAGAACGTTCAGTACATAGAACTTACAAATAGAACGTTCAGGACATAGAACTTACAAATAGAACGTTCAGGACATAGAACTTACAAATAGAACGGTACGATCATTAGTGGACTCAGGACATAGAACTTACAAATAGAACGTTCAGGACATAGAACTTACAAATAGAACGTTCAGTACATAGAACTTACAAATAGAACGGTCAGGACAGAGAACTTACAAATAGAACGGTACGATCATCAGTGGACTCAGGACATAGAACTTACAAATAGAACGTTCAGGACATAGAACTTACAAATAGAACGGTTAGGACATAGAACTTACAAATAGAACGTTCAGGACATAGAACTTACAAATAGAACGTTCAGGACATAGAACTTACAAATAGAACGGTACGATCATCAATGGACTCAGGACATAGAACTTACAAATAGAACGTTCAGGACATAGAACTTACAAATAGAACGGTACGATCATCAATGGACTCAGGACATAGAACTTACAAATAGAACGTTCAGGACATAGAACTTACAAATAGAACGGTACGATCATCAATGGACTCAGGACATAGAACTTACAAATAGAACGTTCAGGACATAGAACTTACAAATAGAACGGTACGATCATCAATGGACTCAGGACATAGAACTGCATGTCGTTGCTGAGATACCAGGAGTGGAGCATGCACTGATGATGTAAAATTTACAGTTTATCGCATATAAGTAAGGAGTGAGTTAAACATGGGGTGGGAGCAGTTGTGTGCATGTGTGGTACAATTATAATCCGACTTAATTGCCACCATACTTTCACCACTAGTTTCACCATCTTGACATAGTATAATCATACAACCACACGACACTACCCACAACATAATACCACCTGTAACCACACAATACTATCACCCACTAGAGAACCACACATCGCCACTCATACTCATAACCACATAACACCATCACACATCACCACTAACCTCATAACCACATAACACCATCACACATCACCACTAACCATCATAACCACATAACACCTTCACACATCACCACTAATCTTCTATTATCTTTACACATACACAACATTAATTTGCTTTAGGTTGGTTCATAAATTCTCAAATGGCATCTTTGTTCACTACAACACCACCACAACACCACACCACTATAACAACATCACGACAATATGCCCAATAACTATTAGCATCACAATGTAAACCACGACACCAAATCACTATAACAACATCACCGCAATAATTCCAACTACCACAATTATTAAAGCAACACACTACCACATCACAACTAATACACCACAACAACCACACTAGCACCATCCCCTACCATCCCCTACCAAACCATCCCCTACCATCCCCTACCAAACCATCCCCTACCATACCATCCCCTACCATCCCCTACCAAACCATCCCCTACCATACCATCCCCTACCATCCCCTACCATACCATCCCCTACCATACCATCCCCTACCATACCATCCCCTACCATCCCCTACCATACCATCCCCTACCATACCATCCCCTACCATACCATCCCCTACCATACCATCCCCTACCATACCATCCCCTACCATACCATCCCCTACCATACCATCCCCTACCATACCATCCCCTACCATACCATCCCCTACCATACCATCCCCTACCATACCATCCCCTACAATACCATCCCCTACCATACCATCCCCTACCATCCCCTACCATACCATCCCCTACCATACCATCCCCTACCATACCATCCCCTACCATACCATCCCCTACCATCCCCTACCATCCCATCCCCTACCATACCATCCCCTACCATACCATCCCCTACCATACCATCCCCTACCATACCATCCCCTACCATACCATCCCCTACCATACCATCCCCTACCATACCATCCCCTACCATACCATCCCCTACCATACCATCCCCTACCATACCATCCCCTACCATACCATCCCCTACCATACCATCCCCTACCATACCATCCCCTACCATCCCCTACCATACCATCCCCTACCATACCATCCCCTACCATCCCCTACCATACCATCCCCTACCATACCATCCCCTACCATCCCCTACCATACCATCCCCTACCATACCATCCCCTACCATCCCCTACCATACCATCCCCTACCATATCATCCCCTACCATCCCCTACCATACCATCCCCTACCATACCATCCCCTACCATACCATCCCCTACCATACCATCCCCTACCATCCCCTACCATACCATCCCCTACCATACCATCCCCTACCATACCATCCCCTACCATACCATCCCCTACCATACCATCCCCTACCATCCCCTACCATACCATCCCCTACCATCCCCTACCATACCATCCCCTACCATACCATCCCCTACCATCCCCTACCATACCATCCCCTACCATACCATCCCCTACCATCCCCTACCATACCATCCCCTACCATCCCCTACCATCCCCTACCATACCATCCCCTACCATACCATCCCCTACCATACCATCCCCTACCATCCCCTACCATACCATCCCCTACCATACCATCCCCTACCACACCATCCCCTACCATACCATCCCCTACCATCCCCTACCATACCATCCCCTACCATACCATCCCCTACCATACCATCCCCTACCATACCATCCCCTACCATACCATCCCCTACCATCCCCTACCATACCATCCCCTACCATCCCCTACCATACCATCCCCTACCATACCACCCCCTACCATCCCCTACCATCCCCTACCATACCATCCCCTACCATACCATCCCCTACCATCCCCTACCATACCATCCCCTACCATCCCCTACCATACCATCCCCTACCATCCCCTACCATACCATCCCCTACCATACCATCCCCTACCATACCATCCCCTACCATACCATCCCCTACCCTACCATCCCCTACCATACCATCCCCTACCATCCCATCCCCTACCATACCATCCCCTACCATCCCCTACCATACCATCCCCTACCATACCATCCCCTACCATACCATCCCCTACCATACCATCCCCTACCATACCATCCCCTACCATACCATCCCCTACCATACCATCCCCTACCATACCATCCCCTACCATCCCCTACCATACCATCCCCTACCATACCATCCCCTACCATACCATCCCCTACCATACCATCCCCTACCATCCCCTACCATACCATCCCCTACCATCCCCTACCATACCATCCCCTACCATCCCCTACCATACCATCCCCTACCATCCCCTACCATACCATCCCCTACCATACCATCCCCTACCATACCATCCCCTACCATACCATCCCCTACCATACCATCCCCTACCATACCATCCCCTACCATACCATCCCCTACCATACCATCCCCTACCATACCATCCCCTACCATCCCCTACCATACCATCCCCTACCATACCATCCCCTACCATACCATCCCCTACCATACCATCCCCTACCATCCCCTACCATACCATACCATCCCCTACCATACCATCCCCTACCATACCATCCCCTACCATACCATCCCCTACCATACCATCCCCTACCATCCCCTACCATACCATCCCCTACCATACCATCCCCTACCATACCATCCCCTACCATACCATCCCCTACCATACCATCCCCTACCATCCCCTACCATACCATCCCCTACCATACCATCCCCTACCATACCACCCCCTACCATCCCCTACCCTACCATACCATCCCCTACCATCCCATACAATTCCCTACCATCTTGTCCACATGCACGACATTGTTGACGTAGATCAAGTTGGTCCACCAGTTTGCCTCACAGTTTTCCCTGTCTGATGGCATCTTCATGGACCAGGTGGCCCCCGACCCCATGAAGGCCAGGAACCCTTGGCCCATCAGCATAGTCAGCATATAGGGCGGGGTCAGTCTAGGGGTTTAGTATGGTAGTTTACACATGGAGATTTAGAAATATAAACACGTGGACATACACTTATTCAGACATATAACTAGACTTATATATGATATATAAGAGTGAAAGAGAGAAATAGCATACATATATATATATATATATATATATATATATATATATATATATATATATATATATATATATATATATATATATATATATATATATATATATATATATGTATATATTTATGGCATATATATATATATATATATATATATATATATATATATATATATATATATATATATATATATATATATATATATATATATATATAACTAGACCTATAAGACCTATACCTCTTTGAAAATAAAAATTGCGTTTATGAACCATTTGCTTTCTCTTATAAGTTTTAAAATAATACCATCAAAAACGCCCGAACAATAATTATAGACCTGTTTCACTTTATTGACCTATTAAGTTTTCATTACTTTTTGTACGGCAGCATTATACTAAATTACTATTCTTATAGCTTAATGTTTTAATTAATAACTACGTAGATGTAAAATAATTACCTCCAATAGCGGTGAAAATAAAACAAAGGCCAGTTCAGTTTCCAGCCTTTTTTCTTGATCTCCTTGAAGGTTAGATAGGCAACGAGCAGACCACTGTACGGGTTAAATGTAGATAGACATAAAGGGAGGTAACTAGCAAAACAGTCATAATGGGAAATTTGAATAGAGGGGGTAAATAACCCAGTCAGAGTTAAATATATGGGAAGTAACAAGAAATATTAAGTAAAAAACAAATCGTCAATGGACAATAAAACTTAATGTTTTAAAGGGACGCTACTTGCATTATTCGTTCAGGATTCCATCACTCACGAGAGAACCCCACATAGACACAGACATTCTGGGTCAGCAATGTTATGACAAACCAGGGGATTAGCAAGATGGCACATACTTGTAGTGTTAGCCACGTTTGTTACGTTAATTTTTTTCTTTCGTGCTAATCATCATCATATTTTCCCGTTTGTGCCCAAGACCAAGGTTGCAGATGAAGTAGAGTTCATCTGTTTCAATGACCTCGGCTTACATAGAGATAATGTAGTCAGCACTATACAGAGGCGTAGCGACCCTTCCCGGCGCCCGGCGACAAACTTTCGATTTGCACCCCCTCAAACTTTCGATTTGCACCCCCCCTGGAACTTTTGATTTGCTCCCCCTCAAACTTTCAATTTTTTTTCCAACCCATTTTGGCGCCCCCCCATTCCCCCCCCCCCCCCCAATTTCCCCCCCCCCCACCCCCTCGCTACGCCTCTGGCACTATACCCAGTCGCCTTTGTTCTAATGTAAGCTAGGTACCGATCGAAACTTTTTCGGATTAGCAGTCTAACTCTCTACCGCTTCGTTAAGCCGCCCCTCGACGTGCTAATCTCTTGTTCTAATCACCTTAAAGTAAAGAACGTGTCCACAGCTAGCCCAGCGTTGTAGATAGCATCAAAGGTCCAGTCTTTTAGGTGGTCTAGAATCGCTGTCATGGGGACAGTGCCTGAAATAGGAACGTTAGAGTCGTTACATGATGTGATACGGTTGTTATAGATTAGGTGTTTTAGATTAGTTGTTATAGATTAGTTGTTATAGATTAGTTGTTATAGATTAGTTGTTATAGATTAGTTGTTATAGATTAGTTGTTATAGATTAGTTGTTATAGATTAGTTGTTATAGATTAGTTGTTATAGATTAGTTGTTATAGATTAGGTGTTTTAGATTAGTTCTTATAGATTAGTTCTTATAGATTAGTTCTTATAGATTAGTTGTTATAGATTAGTTATTATAGATTAGTTGTTATAGATTAGTTGTTATAGATTAGTTGTTATAGATTAGTAAGTTGTTACATTGTCGTCTTATATTGTTGAGGATATACAACACATGTGTTCTCAACACAAGGGACAGGAAATGTTTATTTAGTATCATCTGCATCATCTTTTCCCGTTCACAAGACGAAGTAGATGAAGTAGAGTTCTTATTTTTCAATGACCTCGGCATGCGGGGTGGGTGGGTAATGTGGTCGGCAATTTACCCAGCGTCATTAACGTGATCAGGTACCCATCAGAGCTGAGTTGACTCAGGGACGACCTTTTCCAGGATTCGAACCCGAGATATTCGGGTAGTCACTCGTAAACTCTACCATCCAACCACGCCGCCCCATTTTATTTTTATACTGGGCTTATATTTTATTTCTAATTTTGATTATTAGGAACTTGAAACCAAAGTTGAAATGCAATAAAATAAAAGTTGTTCCAACTGACCAACTTCTAACGTGGCGGTAAAGTACGTATGTCCAAGGATGACCCAAGACATGCTGAGGAAACGTATGCCATTTATAGCCGATAATGATCCAGGTGGCTGCGCTGTGTTTAAGACTTTAGATCCATTTGTGTAGACCGAGAACGCCAGTAGAATCATGATACACGCTAGATTGAGCAAGAAAAGGCGGACTATATAATTTATTTTTAAATAAATTTGGAAGCATATAATATTTGTTTAAAATATCTTGTAAAAAATTAGAAAAAATTTTTAAATATATACTCAGACATCCGGCATATTATAAATATTGAAAGTTAAATATGAATTCAAAGTTGAAATTAGTTTAAAATAATAAAATTTAAAAAAAAAAACCTAATACATTTTTTAAACTAAGTTGAAAATAACTCGTATTTTATTAAAATTTATAAAATCTTAAATTATATGTCAATTATATTATTCTAACAATATCAACACACCATTCAGTTTTTTCTTCCCTTCTTTAGTTTTGTCAACAGAATTGCTCCCTGCTGACTGTGTGTGAACGTCACAGTTACCGTTACTGGCAGGGGTTCCTTCCCTTTGTTTCAACTCTGAGTTGTTTTTATTTCCTGCAAATTTATCAGTTGTTTCCCTTTGACCGTTGGCCTCAGCTGTGTCTGTCATTGCAATGAGAGTGACCGGACTTTGGCTGTGTTCTTGACTTAAGTTTTTCTCAGCAGTTTTTTCCGTCCGTTTGACTTTTTGTGATTTCCATTTTGGAATTTGTATGAAAATGAGATCATACATTGTTCCCACAATCACAAGGACACCGATCGCTGAGAAAACGCATCTAGTCAAAACAGAAAAGTTTATTTAAAAAAAGATTTTAAAAAACATTCGTGTTTAAAATATAAATTTAAAATTGCAATAAAATTGTATGAAGAGTTTATTTCAGGAACCTCTATGGGAGGGGGGGGGGGGGGGGGAGGGTAGGGTGTGCCCCCTCGGAAAAACACTCAACTGAACGAAAGAGTTAAAATAGAAAATATATACTAGTATCACACGACCCCCCCCCCCCCCCTCTTACCACGGAGAAAAATGCCTGAAAGAAACCCTTATATATTGTAAGTATTTATTATAATGGGAGATAAACCAAATGTTTACATGGCAACAATCGTAGCAGTGGTGATCTCCCTGTGGTCAGTTCTGATCTCCACACTGGTCAACATGATGCCCAGGTTCAAATCTTTCAGCCCTGAAAAAAAATTATCTATCAGTTATTGTTATGTTATACAATTCTTATTTTAGATACAATGCATACAATTTTTTTACTGTACTTTTAGTGAAACAATTCCTCAAAGTTCCCTGAAGTTGAGGCATGACTCATGTTAATGTGGATAACTAATTTATTTTTAAGATACATTGAAAAAAATTCTCATATTGTTTATTTTATCATTCTACATGTCTGTGCATAGTTTCATTGAATTTTGCAAACTTGTTTTTTTTTTTCCTAATTTTTTAGTCAATTTGTAAAAAAAAATTTAAAATTACCTTCTCCTCTATAAACAAAAAAACTTTTCAAAAACTTACTTATGTTTTTTTTTCTTTGAATTGTCGTACTATTAGTATACATTTAATATTTGTGGCTGAAATTTAATGATCTTAAAAATAGGGTCTAAATGTATAATGCTTGTAGTCGACCGCTCTACTATCCAACCACGGCGTCCCATTAACTTAACTTTAACCAACTGTTTAACATATAAACTAACCACAGTACGTACCTTGACCTAAGACTATCTGGAGATCAATAAATCTATGTGACCAGACCACGTACCTTGACCTAAGACTATCCTGAGATCAATAAATCTACGTGACCACAGCACGTACCTTGACCTAAGACTATCCTGAGATCACTAAATCTATGTGACCAGACCACGTACCTTGACCTAAGACTATCCTGAGATCACTAAATCTATGTGACCAGACCACGTACCTTGACCTAAGACTATCCTGAGATCACTAAATCTATGTGACCAGACCACGTACCTTGACCTAAGACTATCTGGAGATCCGACTCAGAGCATGAGTCTGGTACACATGCCCCAATCTGACCAGCGGCGCCAGGAAGCTACAACGATAGAAAGTTAGGTAGAACATGATATAGTTTTACGTGGAGGTTACATACAACATAATGGCATGGATTTCAGTCATTTCAACTGGTCATAAGTTTCGATAGTTCAATCAAGTCAGATCTAATGTGCAGCAAGCATTAGCAAGGAATTATAAATGCGACTTATATTGGATAACCCACCAAAACAAACACGACAAAGCCGTAAGATACCGTAACAAAACAGGACAAACCACAACCTATTGAAACAAAACACGACAGAACAAAACCCGCGAAACAAAATAGAGATTAATATACCGAAAAAAAAAACACTGAAAACCTACCGAAACAAAACACTACAAAAATTCATAACCTAAGAAGCAAAACACAACAGAACAAAACAATCAAAGACCTACAAAACAAAACGACGACCTATTGAAACAAAGACCTAGAAAACAAAAAAGACAAATTTACCACCTACTAAAACAAAGACCTACAAAACAAAACAAAACAAACTGACGACCTACTGAAAAAAAGACCTACAAAACAAAACAAACTGACCACCTACTGAAACAAAGACCTACAAAACAAAACAAACTAATGACCTTCTGAAACAAAGACCTACAAAACAAAACAAAACAAACTGATATCCTACCAAAACAAAGACCTACAAAACAAAACAAACTGATGACCTACCAAAACAAAGACCTACAAAACAAAACAAACTGACGACCTACTGATACAAAGACCTACAAAACAAACTGATGACCTACTGAAACAAAGACCTACAAAACAAAACAAAATGACGACCTACTGATACAAAGACCTACAAAACAAAACAAACTGACGACCTACTGAAAAAAAGACCTACAAAACAAAACAAACTGATGACCTACCAAAACAAAGACCTACAAAACAAAACAAACTGATGACCTACTGAAACAAAAACCTACAAAACAAAACAAACTGACGACCTACTGATACAAAGACCTACAAAACAAAACAAACTGATGACCTACTGAAACAAAGACCTACAAAACAAAACAAAATGACGACCTACTGATATAAAACAAAGACCTACAAAACAAAACAAACTGACGACCTACTGAAATAAGACCTACAAACTGATGACCTACTGAAACAAAGACCTACAAAACAAAACAAACTGATGACCTACTGATGCAAACAAAGATCTACAAAACAAAACAAACTGATGACCTACCGTCCCCATCTGCAGGTAGATCCCCACACTACAGTAGCTCCCACTGAACCCGAGGCTCGTATTGTCCGGAGCCCTGCTGTCGCGGCACTGTTTATAGCTGCCCACCATGTTCAGCCGCCCCTGCAGTAGGGACGGGCCAGGCTTGCCCCATGCGTCCATCACTATGGGAGGAGATGTTCAAGTTGTATCAGCATTGTTGAGTAGATGGGATTAGGATTACGGCTTAGGATATATCCTTAATGTTTACCGCAAGATATAGATGAACATCGTATATTTCTGGTTATTTATAATTTGGGATCGGGATTTGGGATGTATCCCAATAAGTTTGGGATAATTTTCGATGAATAGATATATATTAGTGGTCATTGATAGATGACGTTGGGACCAAGGTTGTAGTTTTTTGTTATAAGCATCAAGGATAGAAGGAGGTGCAATCGAGCTTTGAATAAGCTGTAATTCAAATGGTTTAGTTATTCCATATTTAAATTGGTGCTTAACTGCCTACATACTTTGAGAAGGTAATGGTATTTTTCTTAATATACTCATCAGCTATGGGGAAAATCAGAAGCACCAATAGATTTCCCCAAAAGGATATCAGTGCTAAGAGCGTTCGGGAAATCTCGTTTTTCTTCTCTGAATATATTTTAGGATATTGAATGTTTCAATTGTCAAAATACCTACTTTGTAATGCCCAGAATTCACCGGCCGTGACACCGTTCATGAACGTCTGAAAATCGTGTTCACATTTCACTAAACTGCCGTTCGTCACCACCGGAAGTGACGTCACGTTGTCGCTCAACTCTACTGCCTCTCTGCCCGGCTGGACGTTGATCCCATCGCTTCCGTTCACAGCGCTTCTCTTGAGCCGATGTCCATTAGTGAATGAACTAGCAAAAAGTCCCAAGGTCCCGGGTACAACGGGGTTAGACATTGCTTTGTATAATCGTGCAAATAATTCCTGCCGATCTTTCGTACCGGTGAAGACATCTTTACTGTTATGCAGATTCCCAGGCTTAAAATCTTGTCCACATTCTGATAAACGAATTAGCGAACACACTAATAACAATAAGACGTGAAAGTTGTGATATCCAAAAGCCATTTCGAGAATTCAAATCAAATCTTTAAAGCATCAGATTATGTAATTGTCTCCGTAAAATATTAAAAAGATCAATTCTGGAATTGACTCTATGACTTCATAGCTGTTGTTGTTGTTTTTTAATCATACAAATCAATACTATAATGTTCGATGTATACAAATTCAGTACGTTTTGTAATTTTCGTAGAGTTAAACTAACAAAATTAGGCGCAGTTGTCGACATATAGTACACGAAGACCTGTACCCCGATTCAACTAAACGCCTTTATACCCGTAAATTTTGGGTCTTAGTACGCTATAATTTATTATGATTATCAGTTGTCTGTTTATATCCCACCCTAACATTACTGAACTACTTATTCATATAACCTTGTAATCAGAATTGCGATCACAGTCTTATTCGTAGAATTACAGGGGCGTAGATCTGGTTATAAGTTAAAGTTACAGCCTGTTTTCATTCTAAACATTTTTCCTTGCTGAGTTATGGTTATAAAAAAGATGAATCACAGCACACGAAATATAAAAACGCGTTTGTTTGATCTAACAATATATATAAATAAATAAAATAAAAAATTCAAAAAAAAATTACAAAACCGTTTTCAAATGTGTTTTATATTTTATTAATTCTGTAAAACTCAGAAAAACTTTTCCAGACCTAGTGGAAAATAAAATTGTCTCCTTTTGGTTGTTTTACTTTGTTGTTTGTTGTTTTCTTTTTTTAATTTAATTGTATAAATAAACAGACCTGTTATTGAAACGTTATTTAAGGCGTTATTAAATATATCAAATGTTATTTATTTTAAACACATTAAATATAATTGCTAATAATTGCAATCAGTGTTTCTCACCAAAAACAAATTCATATTATATATATATATATATATATATATATATATATATATATATATATATATATATATATATATATATATATAGCTAGATCGATATATTATTTATACTTAAACTATGAAGTTGTATACTTAAATTATGAACCCCCACCCCTTGCATAAACAGATTAAAAGAAACTCGGATTGCAGAAAAAGTTTAGCTGGTAATTATTTCAGGTAAGTGTAACTTGCTGATTAGGTGCACCCAGGCGAATCGCTAAGTGTAACTAGCTGATTAAGTACGCCCAGGGGAATGTTAAGTGTAACTCAGTGTACCCAGGCCTACATGACTCATAGGGTACACACGGGTTATGTGTGTACTTTCTGTCGTGTCGGATTTTTGTGTACTTACTTACTATTGTGGGGATTGTGTGTACTTACTATAGTGTGGGATTGTGTTGTAGTTTCTGTAGTGTGTGATTGTGTGTGTACATACTATAGTGTGTGATTGTGTGTACTGACTGTAGTGTGGGATTGTGTTGTAGTTTCTGTAGTGTGTGATTGTGTGTGTACATACTATAGTGTGTGATTGTGTGTGTACATGCTATGGTGTGTGATTGTGTGTGAGAGTCTGTTCATACATATATGTGGGTGTGCCAGGTTTATTCAATAATTAAATATTTCCCGTCATCTGTATTTCCCTACAGGCGAGGTCTTGTGTACTTGAATGAGGATCTTGGCATTCGAGTAATTCGTGAAGTAATTATATCGACACTTTCTTTCTATGCCGGTAGTGCTTTTATTTATGTAGATATATATAAATGTACATTTACATTTATAAATATATACATACGTGTATATATTCATATTTGAATATGTATACATAAATATAATATATATATATATATATATATATATATATATATATATATATATATATATATATATATATATATATATATATATATATATATATAAATATATATAAATATATATATATATATATATATATATATATATATATATATATATATATATATATATATATATATATAATATACATTTATAACTATGCATATATATTAAAATTTATATTTTTGTATGTATATATATATATATATATATATATATATATATATATATATATATATATATATATATATATATATATATATATATATAGTCTAAAAGTAATGATTCACCCTAACTCTCCCCCCATCCCTCACCCCACCCCCACCCTACCTCTATTGAACCAAATCACCACATTTCAATTGACCAAACTTGGTTCTCTGCCACACGATTAAGCGGACACAGATTACCTGATATCAGCTAAGTTCCAGTTTGTCACCGGTGACTGTATATCCACCCTGTACACTTGTCCCACTTGTGCATAAATCGACGGTCGTACTTTTTTCAATTCCCTTTCAGTGGAGAGTTCTGTGTGTAATCGCCTTTCAACGGTTAGAGAGTTCTATATAATCACCCGTGTCTGTGTATTGTCAGGTATGTGGGTGCTGTGTTTGACTTAAGGATTTGGGGGGGGGTGGTTTTCGATGACGCAGAATCATTGGGTGACACAACCAACTCGCACAGTCTAGGGCGACCGTCTTCTATGCATGCACTGTCATGGGCGACGACACATTGCATTCGCAGTCAAGGGCGACGCCCTGCACCCCTCCCCCTCCATTACATGTACTATCAAGGGCGACGCCCATATTACATGCACAGGTATGTGTCAAGGGCACGGTGCATGGCGCCCCCTTTTATATTCACAGACAAGTGCGACGCCCACATTACATATGCAGTCAAGTGCGACGCCCTGCTCCCCCTCCCATTACATTCTCAATCAAGTCCGACGCCCTGCCCCCCCCCTCCTGCCATTATATTCACAGTCAAGTGCGACGCCCACATTACTGTAGTGATGTTGTCAAGGGAGACGCCCCGCTCCAATTATATCAACAGTCAAGGCCGACGCCCACATTACATTCACAGCGCTACCCACCGCGCACTATCTGGGACTAATACATCAGAGAGTCACCTGATCAACCTTAGTTGGAACAGTATGAACGCAAAAACAAACTATTATCTGGTACCATCTTCTCTGTGTAAGCTAAAAGTTCATTCTTTGTATTTTCTTTAATCAGTTGATTCAACAATGTAAACACACGGCACTGAATGTCAGTGAAATTAAAATCAAAGTATCAACACAGATCTATCAGTTTAAATCGAGCTTCAAAATACGTAAACAGCCTTGCATTGTTTTATACTGCAAATTTTACACAATTTTAGACATTTTTTTTCTTCACGATTAGCTATATTGTAAAGTCTGATAAGTAGACTTATTACGGTGTAGTGTTAGTAGAGATTTGTTGCTTCCCTTACCCTGCTCTTTGTAGTCCTTCTCAGATAGTAAGTGTTGGAATTAGTTATTTTTATAATGGTTACCTTGTATTAAAGTTGTTATAATTATTTTTTGTCATTGTTATTTCTATCATTTTAATTAGTTTTATTATTATCTTATTATTTTTTATTTATTAGTATAAATACTATAATTATTTCAATTTCTTGTTATCATTAATATTATTATTACTGTTATTATTATTACCATAATAATTATTATTTTGTAACAACTATTATTACTATTGTTATTATTACTATAATTATTATTACTACAACGATTATTATTTCTATTATTATATTTATGTTATTGTCATTATTATTATAATTATCATTATTTTATTATTATCATTATTATTATTATTATTATTATTATTATTATTATTATTATTATTTCAATTATTATTATTACTTATATCATTATTATTATTATTATTATTATTATTATATCATTATTATTATTATTATTATCATTATTATTATTATTATTATTATTATTATTATTATTATTATTATTATTATTATTATTTCAATTATTATTATTACTTATATCAATATTATTATTATTATTATTATTTCTATTATGTCCTAGGTATCGAAGTTATCAAGCCAAGACACCATAAACCAGCAATTGAGTTAAAATGACTCATGACTGATATGTCAGTGATACTAAATGTAAGTCATGTTGACTGAGTAAGAGCCTGGTTGATACTAGATTTGAAGCTAATTTAACAACCCGATATTGAAGCTGATTTTTTTTAATAATAGAGAACCCTTAATCAGTGTTTCTTCCAGACTTTTTTCTCCGGGGGGGGGGGCACTTGAAATCTTCGGGGGGGCGGTAAACTTTCTTCGGGGGGGCGGACACTGTTAAAAGTATATATTTTCTATATAAATTATATAAATTTCATTTCGTTCGGGGGGGCGGTAAAAAAATTTCGGGGGGGCTTCGCCCCCCTGAAGAGATGCCTGGAAGAAACTCTGCCCTTAATATAAATCTTCAATTACTGGAATATAGTATTATAGTTGTTTTTTTATAGACACATCATTAAGATTTTCTTTTAATTTATTATCATCAGAGTTGTTTTTACTGATTGTATGTAATATTAACAGTTATTGTTTCTAGCCTAAATTACCTCCCTTTTAAACCATTTTTTTAATGCTACATAAAACAATTATACATAACTTTATTATAACAAGTTTTTAAATGCACTTAAAATATGTAAAATAAAAAAAACGTGCTTTTTTAAAAAAAAAGTGATCTCTTACACATTGTGTTTGTTTTATTTTCTTATTTTTAGAGTATTTAAACGAGTGTTGGTACTAATGTTTTTATATTCGTTTTATTATACACTGTTTAGTAATTCGTTCTAAATAAAGTTGACAATAAATCTACATAGGCTACGACTAACAATATTTGTTTTCAAATCAGACTAATAGATTGACATCTGGCCCTTCTTTGTGTATGTTAGTAATCAAGAAATCAGCCAACCGTGATAACAGCTCACTCTCAAGAAATCAGCCAACCGTGATAACAGCTAACCCTTATCGAAGAGCTGATTACGCGATAGCTATTATTTAATCCTGTTATTATCTCCCTTTGATCATTGAGTATATTGATTTAATTTCCATGACTAACCTTCAGTCTTATTATATTAAGCATAATAAATATTTTTTGCATTGTCATCGAAGAAGAAAATATATGGAAAGTTTGAATGAAATCGCTGCATTAGAATTGGGTCAAAACGATTTTACAAGATTTACAACCTTACCACAGACGTTGTGAACTAAGTAAAAGCTTGTAACAAAAAAGGTAATACAAATATGGTATAGCCAAGAGTAACAAAAACACATTGAAATACTGACAACTCCAGATCCGACGTGTTTATTCGTACATGTCACAATATTCTTACATGTCACAATATTCTTATATGTCAACATATTCTTACATGTCAACATATTCTTACATGTCAACATATTCTTACATGTCAACATATTCTTACATGTCAACATATTCTTACATGTCACAATATTCTTACATTTCACAATATTCTTGCATGTAACAATATTCGTACATGTCACAATATTACAACATGTCACAATATTCGTACATGTCAGAATTTTCGTACATGTCACAATATTCGTACATGTCACAATGTTTGAACATGTCAAAATATTCGTACATGTCACAATATTCGTACATGTCACAATATTCGTACATGAAACAATGTTTGAACATGTCACAATATTCGTACATGTCACAATAATCGTACATGTCACAATGTGACCTGTTTCATATAGCAATACGCCCAGGTTTATCTCGCATTGTTTAAACATCTACAATAGCCCGGGGCCTTGACAAACCTCAGGGCGATGGGCTCGTTGCTCCTTGCCGGGTAGTCCGGGTTGTAGACTAGTGCGGTAAAAATCTGGTCAACCATGCGACATTTGCATCCACAGTAACAAGTCGTCGTCTGTCTGCATGGTGAGGGGAAAAACTATATATATATATATATATATATATATATATATATATATATATATATATATATATATATATATATATATATATATATATATATATATATATATATATATATATATATATATATATTTATATATATATTTATTTATATATATATATATATATTCATTTATTTATGTATGAATGTATAAATAAATGCAATGTATGCATAAATACATACATAAATTATATATATATATATATATATATATATATATATATATATATATATATACTGTATGTATGTATAAATATATAGTTATTTATATAAATGCTATATATATATATATGTACATACATATATTTTACAAATATATATGCATTATATATATATATATGTATACATATATATTTCTGATCTATATATATATATATGTATAGATGTATATATATATATATATATATATATATATATATATATATATATATATATATATATATATATATATATATATATATATATATATATATATATATATAATGTGTACATTGATTAATGATTTGTTTTCGTTGAGGAAGAAATATTGAGATGAATCTCTACTGGTGTAAACATCACAAAACTATTTATTTACGAGAAAAATGGCCCGTTGAGGAAGGATACAACGGGCGCTAGGTTGATAGTGCTGTCTCTTTTCTCTAAACTAAAACCACCCCACCCCCCCCCCCCCCACACACACACCACCCCCCCACCCCGACCCCCCCCCCCCCCAAAAAAAAAAACATGTCTACCGTCCCATTCAACGAAATATAATTATATACTTTTTCCAGTGCCCGCCCCCTCCCCGAGAATTCTACCCCCGCCACCGAAAATTTCAAGTACCCCCACCCCTCTCCGGGGAGGAAAAAGTCTAAATTAAACCCCCCCCCCCCCCCACACACACACACACCCACCCCCACCCCCCCCCCCACCCCCCTAAAAAAACATGTCTACCGTCCCATTCAACGAAATATAATTATATACTTTTTCCAGTGTCCGCCCCCCTTCCCGAAAATTCTACCCCCGCCCCCGAAAATTTCAATTACTCACCCCTCTCCGGGGAGGAAAAAGTCTGAAAGAAACACTGGTGTCGCGCTTAGCCACTACCCGAAGAATTGCATTAAAGAAATTGCAAGAAAACCACTTTTTAGAAATGAAGAAATTTCTTTTGAGTTGGGGAGGGGGGGGGGGCTCAGACGTTCTTACGCGTGGGGTGGGGCTTCGCCCCTACCCGAAGAATTGTATGCAAAAAACTCTTCACGCAAACCATTTAGATTAGACAACATTTCCTTTTTATTCAATGTTTACGCAATAATCAATGACGTCATTATATTACTGTGTGCACTCTCTGGTTTGAGATTATGTTCTACTCTATGCTAAATGTGTCGACGTCATACTTCGTTTTTCGAAATACTATGCATGTTTTTAATTTCCTTATGTTTTCTCTAGAGCGTTCTTGTCAGACAGAGCGTTCTTGTCAGACAGAGCGTTCTTGTCAGACAGACAGCGAAACTATTATTATAGACAGAGCGTTCTTGTCAGACAGAGCGTTCTTGTCAGACAGACAGCGAAACTATTAGTATTAATATTTACATGCAAGTCTCTGTAGGGAAGCATTGACGTTTTCCTGGCAGGCTGACCAGTGTGACGTCCCTGCTGGACACGTCTTGGAGCCTGGTGTACGTCTGGTGGGTGGAGATCCTGCAACAGTTTGTAACTGTGTATAGCATTTTGTAACATGTTATTACATTTAAAAGGTTTGTAGCCGTTTGTATCTGTATTTAACTTTGAAAAACACGACACTAAATGAACATACATTATCTAATCAGAATCAAAAAAATCTCAGATCAAGTTTTGTTTAGTCATCTTATGCCCGAAACAACACCCCCCCCCCCTTCTGTTAGTGTCAAGGGTCGCTTTTATTTTCCCCAACTTGAATCAGGCACTCATCAGGGGATTCATGGACATCCTGCGGTTAGGTACTTATCAGAGCGGTGTGGACTCAATGACGTCATACGGTCAGGTACTTAACTGAGCTATGTGGACTCAATGACGCCGTACGGTCAGGTACTTATCTGAGCTATGTGAACTCAGGTACGTCCAATCCATCAAACTCGAGACTTCAATGATACAACTCGTGCACTCGACCGCTCATTACCACCACCACCTATATCCGGTAAGCTAACGCTAAGTTCTAATAATAGTAACACGACTTACGATTGACAGCAGGCATGGTTAGTCATTCTAGAGTCATCCTCATCCGAACTAAAAATAGTCTGTGTGTTAAAATTAGCTGTTAAAACTTTTATTAGCTCAACATTTTAAAGCTCAGTTAACTAAACATGCAGTATTGTGAGTAAAGTAGCTTAAAATTCGCATTATATTCCCTTTATCGGAAAACAAACAATCTTCTTCTTCGTTCTTAATTATTAGTGTTGAAAGGGATAGAGATTTATCTGCCAGTGGGTTTGAAGTCTAGACTTTGTTCGAATTTATCAACTACGATTTTGCCGACTCGACCACGCCTCCAACACAATTAAGTATACGTGTCAACTGGTTATGCGCCATTGAGGCCATTGACTCTGATTTCAGTCTGCTTTTCTTTTTGGATTTGCTTCCATAGCCTTTGTCCAACCAAGAACAAACTACAAGGCAGCAGTTGTTTGATTTTGGAGTTGTCTCTCCTAGAAGAGTGGCTGTCCCCAGCTAACGAGCCTCATCTGCCCGAGGGTTCGAACCATGAGCTTTACCGACTCGACCACGCCGACCCCCACAACAAACAATCAACATCGGGCTAAGCAGATAAGTAACCTTTTAGACATAAAGGGGATTTGTTTCCTTAAACTATGTTCCTTAGTCGGCGCTGTTCTCAGGTAGTATAGGGCTTGTAAGTCTCGGTCTCTCTAGCTTAAAATTTCAAATCTCTTTAGTCACGAAGAGCTATAAAGTTATGAAATAAATTATTTTTTTAACATGGTTTTTATTTGAAAAACGGCGGCTATTTTTTTAGGCCTAGCTCTAAGATTTTAAAATTCCAGGATAACTCAAAAAATATTATTATTTTTAAAAATACTAATAATAGAATTAAAATAAGTACCGGTGACCTAGGCTATAAATATTATATCAATATTTTAACTACGTTTAGGAGAACTTGTTGCGAATTCGATTAAATAACAAATTGTAGGCTTCGTTAAAACAAAAATCACATTTTAAAGAAGGCTATCTTTTTCTTTTAGCTAGCTTACATCTTTTAGCATCGCTTATAGTAGAGTGATCGCTTGCATTATTGTGATGTATAGCATTTATTTTCTACTTTTTAGTTCAATCAGAAAACGTGGGTTTTTTAAAACTTTTTTAATGATAATTATTATTTATTTATTTTTAACCGATGTAATTAAAAAATTAATATTTGGTTTGAAAAATACTAGCTGGCAAGTACCAGAACTAGACGTTTGTGACCTACTGACAAGCCCTAAGAAAAATATTAGTAATAAAACACTCACTACCTCATTAGTTAAAGACAGTTACAAATACTAAGGACGTTTCGACCCAAGGTTTTCGTCAGCACACAACAGTGTGGTTACAGATTAGACAGAAAAGACAAACAGCTACCATTTGTAAGAACATTATTACACAACCAAAACGTCACAACTTTCTTTGTACTCATCACGTTCGAATTTTGTATTTAACAAATTGTCAACAGATTAGATATGTTCAGTGGCGTAGGCAGGGGGGTTAGGGGGTCATAACCCCCCCCCCCCCCATAGACCCCTCGTTATGTATATAAAAATTATGAGGGGGGTGCAAATCGAAAGTTTGGGGGGGGGGGGTACAAATCGAAAGTTTGGGGGGGTGCAAATCGAAAGTTTGAGGGGGGGGTGCAAATCGAAAGTTTGAGGTGGGGTGCAAATCGAAAGTTTGTCCCCGTGTAAAAATTGGAACCCCCCCCCCCCCTTGAGACGATCCTGGCTACGCCACTGGATGTGTTGGTACTCACGTATGGGCCATGCATAGGATCGTATTCTGCTTGAAACAAACCAGGTAGAATCGCCTCAGTTTGCCTAACATATTGGTTGATAAAGCTGCTGAGATGAATTCAATGGATAATAAACCGGGAGTGATCTCCCCTAAACTTTCTCGAATATTCTTATATAAAATAACAGGGGATGGGAACTCGGGCTATAGACATGATTTTTAATCCATTTTAAATACTTAAAGTTTTAAAAATAGAATAAAATCTCGTAGACAAAAGAATTTCACACCAAGTGAACGCCAAATAAAAAAGTGCATAATAGTGTGCAATATTATTAGCACATTAAAAATTTACATTAGTTTTTTGAGAAATCGGAAGTAGCATAAATTACTACTTCCTGTCAACGGAAATTACTCAAAATTTAACAGAAGGTAGAGAATTAGATCTTTTACTCACACGTGAAATTTCATTTATCTATCTGAAATATTACTCAAGTTATAGGCTTTTGAAAAATTCAAAGTAGAAAAAGTACCACTTCCGGTTATCGGAAATTGCTCAAAAGTTGTTACGGATCTACGATTTTGATAAAATACTTGTATATGAAATTTCATCAACCTAGCTGTAACGGTACTCAAGAAATCGTGTTTACACACAGACACACACACAGACAGACAGGCACACAGACATACGGACAGAATTGCAAAGCCCAGTTTTTCAGAATGGATTACGCATAAAACCTCTTAATTTTGGTAAATCTGGATTGATAATTTTTGCCCGATTAAAATAAGTCCTCTATACTTCGGATGTGATGAAGGACTGAGGTGTAATACGGTGAAAATTGTTAAAATTTCAATAGATTTTTTCGCACGATTACAATACTTTCTCTATACTTCGTATATACGAGAAAGTAAAAAAGGCGAAATATGTTTGTATCGCTCTGTTAAAGACTGCACTGGCGATTATTTTTTTGCTTATGAATTTTGTCATATTAGTTATTAGCTTTAATAGTCTTTCTTCTTCTTTGTTTTTAATTATAATGTTGGAAGGCATTTCCTCAAACACAATTAAGTATTGCTTGTCAACCTGTTATACACATTATAGGCTGTTGAATCCGATTTCAGCCTGCTTTTATTTCTGGATTTGCTTTCATAGCCTTTGTCCATTCAAGAACAAAGTACAACGCAGCAGTTGTTTGATTTTAGAGTTGTCTCTCATAGATGGAATGTTGTCACCAGCTATTGAGCCTCATCTGCCCGGGAATTCGAACTCGGGACTTTTCAGTTTAGCAACCATGAGCTTTACCAACCTGCTTTAATATTATTCCGGGGGAAATAGGTAAACAGCTCCAAACTAGATCCTATACTAATTAGGTAACATTACTTGGAGCCAATAGTAATTAGTTATCATTAATTAGTTGATAACATCACTAATTAGGTATCATTTCTTAATGGATACTAACACCAAATAGAAAAGGCGACAGTATTTAATTACGTACCAGATTTTGTGAGTAGTAGCGCTACTGAGATACCATCATTTAGTACGTAGCACTACTTAAATACCACCATTTAGTGCATAGCACATCTTAAATACCATCATATAGTAAGTAGCACTACTTAAACACCATCATGTAGTACATGCCAGCTCCAACTAAATGCCATCAACAACTGGATACCACCTCTGACAGGATGCCAGTATTAAGTAGCTACCAGCTGGTAATTACTCAGCGTCAATGAACACAACAACACATCTCCAAAACCATTTAATAATTAATTAGCCCCCTAGTCAATTTAACTCATTTAATTAAATTCATCACCCATTTACTTTTAATATTGTCTTCAAATTCCACATTTTTAGTGAATCCATTTACTTGTTAATCTCGAAGCATTTTCGGGTGATTTTACAAAGAGCAATAAATTTATATCTTCGGTACAGAGAGTATATTGCTTGGATAAGATACTTATTGGAAAGATAAGAAACTCACGTATATGTGGGAAGCATTTGACTTTCTTTGATGGGAAGCATTTGTTCTTCATTGATTGGAAGCATTTGTTCTTCATTGATTGGAAGCATTTGTTCGTCATTTATGGGAAGCATTTGTTTTTCATTGATTGGAAGCATTTGATCGTCATTTATGGGAAGCATTTGTTTTTCATTGGTGGGAAGCATAAATTGACTTTCTTTGATGGGAAGCATTTGACTTTCTTTGATGGGAAGCATTTGACTTTCTTTGATGGGAAGCATTTGACTTTCTTTGATGGGAAGCATTTGACTTTCTTTGATGGGAAGCATTTGACTTTCTTTGATGGGGAGCATTTGCTCTCCATTGATCGGAAACTTTTGTTCGTCGTTGATTGAAGGAACTTTTGTTTTCACGATGTGCACTAGGCATAATGCCAATACTGTGCCTCGAACTAGCATCTGAAATTTTCAAAACAAACGAAGAACACAGGAGATAAACCACAGTTGTCACAGTTTTGAGAAAAATGAGATTTTGTGTTTGAGATCCTTAGCTGTTCTGTTGTGGCATGATTTTAAATTCCTAAATATTTAGGGTATCGAGGTGGTTTTACGATTTCATATTGTTATACGTGAGAGATATATACCAGTGCGACATGAATATGGCGCTAACTCAAAATATTTTTTTAAACGGACATCGGTGGTTTATTCCGTGTGATCTTCAAACATTTCTTAACAAACAGTAACCGCTTTAAAGTGTTGAACGACATTAAATAATAAGGAACACTGTCGAACGTCCAAAGCGCTTGAACTTTAAATGTTTTTGTAAACTGTTTCCTTTCTTTAGTTTCTCTTTTCAGTAAATACTATCAAATACTTAAGAAGACTACGTTTATTGCGGTGTTACTTTATAATCGATGCATTAAGACAAAACTTAAAGTGTGTGCCTTAAAAAATAGTTCAGTAATATGTAAAAACTATATATATATATATATATATATATATATATATATATATATATATATATATATATATATATATATATATATATATATATATATATATATATATATATATATATATATATATATATATATATCCGAACTTTAAAGACAGGTAAAAACCTACATTCATTAAAACTTTCATCAACCTTATAGAAAGTACGTTAAGAAAACTTTACCTTACATCCAGATTCAGCCTAAGAAGAACTGAAAACGCTGAACAAACATAATGGCCAGACAGCTGTTTATACTGTGGTCCAGGATCTTTCTCGAACTGTCCGACATTCGTACCCAGCGGTTCTCGGTTGGTAAACAATGACACCCTGAGACAGTGTTTCTTCCAAACCTTTTTTTTTCCGGGGGGGGGGGGGGGGGGGGGGGGGGCACTTGAAATTTTGGGGGGTGGTGGGGGGCCGTAGACTTTCTTCGGGGGGGGGGGGAGGCGGACACTGTTAAAAGTATATATTTTCTATATAAATCATATAAATTTCATTTCGTCCGGGGGGCGGTAAAAAATTTTCGGGGGGAGGGCTTCTACCCCCCCCCCCATCCACCCCCCCGAAGAGATGCCTGGAAGAAACTCTGCCCTGAGACGCTTAGTATTCAATTTTATACATCTTACCAATGACAGATATATCATATTAAAATGCAGATCGACGCCCGCCCGAATAAGTTAAATGTGTTGAATTTTTTATACATCAGGAAAACAATTGTTAGACTATCTGCTTCACAAATTTTTAGCTAAAGCACTTCACAATAATACCATATTACGCAGGGCGTAGCGAGGTCGGGTGTCACCCAGTGCGGCACTTAATGGTGTCACCCTCAGAGGCGTAGCGACCCTTTGATTTGCACCCCCCCCCTTAAACTTTCCATTTGCACTCCCCCCCCCCTCTCAAGTTTTCTCTATATATTTTGCTATTTTTTGCCTTGGTGTTACCCCCCTAAATACCTATAAAACTGTAGTTTCTGTGCATGGTGACACCTTGCTACCGTGCAGCGTCTATGCCCTTTCCAAATTACGTGTATGTTGGTTGAGCAGTATTAAATACGTTAGAGTTGTAACGTATACGATGAAAAAAATTTAATGAAATTTTTAACCGTATTTTTTTTTTAAAAAGCTATGTTAACAGAAGGCATTGATCTAAGAAATTTGCAAATTAGCCTACGTTTTAAAAAAAAAGGAAAATTGTGACGTCATTCTCGTTGATCCCCCCCCCCCCCCCCCCCTTCCTCCTCACACATGAAGGTAGTATTTAAATACCTTTTTGTTACCTACCACATTGCACTTTATCAATTCCATGCATAGTTTAGAATTTTTATAACACGAAAACAAACGAAAAGGAAGTAGCCTAATTCTTTTTTCTGATGCCATTTTATTTTTATTTATTTTTCCGATTAAAGGGGAGTAACTTGTATAATTTTTATCACATAAAATTATAATGTTTGTTAGGCACAATGGTGAAGAATATGAGATTTTTACTACATGCAAGTGTTCCACAAATCTGTCAGAGATATACATACACAGTCCTTTTCATCTTTGTTAGGTCAAGTCAGATTTTAAATACAAGATTTAATTTACTTCATGAAAAAGTCATTTACAAATTCTAAACACGATAAAGATTATGTAATATACTTATACTAAGTTTAGATATACAACTTTTTATTGTGTGCCTTATTTCGTAATGTAAAAATATGCTATGTAGAACTTTACACAAGACAGATTTAGAATCCCTGTGAAGGTTTTCGGTTTTTCCACCATCCAACAGGGTTAGATGAATCTCGAGCAGAACCGGGTGATGGGGTTCTTTCCAGGAAGTCTTGTATACCTTCGCTCATCGGAATGTAGAGCTAGAACAAACAAAGCCAGATTTGAACAGCTTTGTCCCGAATACCGTCCTTACACCGCTTTTACACTTGCGACATGTATACTATACATGTCTAGAGAAAAAAAACCTTTGAAATATGTGAGTAATAAGTTCTACTGACTTGAACCCGGATTCGAACTCGAGACTTTCGGGTTAGAAAGTTAGCGCTCTACAGCCGTTTTTCTTTGGTGGGAAGCATAATTTGTCTTTCCTTGATGGGAAACATTTGTTCGTCGTTGATGGGAGGAATTCTTGTTTTCATGATGCGCACTAGACAAATGCCAATAGTCTAGCACAGGGGTCTCCAAACTACGGCCCGCGGGCCGGATGCGGCCCGCGAGGTCCTCTCGTCCGGCCCGCGGAGATCTTTTTGTCCACGGAAAAAACGTTTGTTGGTGATGGCTGAAGAACTTTGCTCCGAAAAATCACGACATGCCTGAAAGAAACTGGCCCCCGAACTGAAATTTGATAGTTAATGCGGCCCTCGGACTGAAAAGTTTGGAGACCCCTGGTCTAGCACGACTATCAAATAAACAGAGTTTCTTCCAGGCATCTCTTCGAGATCTGCCCCCCCCCCCCCCCATCCCGGAACGAAATGGAACTTATATAAAAACATATACTCTTACAAGTGTCCCCCCCCCCCCCCGAAAATATCCAGTGCCCCCCCCCCCCCCCCACCCTCCGGAGAAAAAAAACTGGAAGAAACACTGCTCTCTCATCCTTAGCTCTTTTAATAAACTTATCGCCTAAGATATTCCACTCCTGTTTGATTTCGGAGTTGTCTCTCCAAGATCGGTTGCTTGTCCTCTTCTGCCCGGGGTTCGAACACGGGAATATTGGGTTATCAACCATGAGCCCTCCTGTCCGTTTATCAAATATGCGTGCAAGGTCTCGGGACTTAGGTTGTCAACATGACAGTCTTAGAGTTAGCCTGCCATTATAAATGTGAACCGGCCATTTTCAAATTTAACCATCAGCTGTCAAAGTTAACCTGTCGTCATCATAGTTAACCTGTCATTATCAAAGCTAACCTGTCGTTATCAAAGTTAACCTGTCGTTATCATGGTTAACCTGCGAGTTTAGCTACCTGACCTCCCACAAACAGAAAACAAAACATGTTGTGAAGACTCCTTTTTCATTAGTCGTACCTCTATAACCGAAACAGTAACCACACTTTAACCATTAGGGTTAACGTTTGGGTTCTAATTTAAATGAACCATCATATATCAAAACACGGTTCCAATAGTAATATGAAAAACACACTTATCAATTACATTGTTTCTTGACAAATACTCGTACCTTTTAATTTAGAGTCTTCGTGAGTATCTCCCAAAAGCTGTTTAAATAAACGTAACTAATTAAATTGATTATTAACTCATTAGATATTATATCCTTCAATTACAAAATAGAAACGACTGAGTTCAATATTGATTACGTCACTGTAATTAGTCGCATTTGTTACCAGCGAACATCATTATAGGGGCGCTCGGCTAAAAAGAAAATGGCGTCTTTAATTATTTTATCTTGGTTGTCTTTGTAGATATGGGTTGTTGAGACACAGCGGGTTGCTAGGTAATATAATACAGAGAACCGATAGTTTGATCTAGCATCAAAGATTTATGTATCTTACCTACAAGAAACAATGAGTTATGTTTGCGTGAGAAATACTAGTCTGTAAACATAGCGTTTGGAAAGGGTTTGCTAGGTAATATAATACAGAGAACAAATAGTTTGATCTAGCATCAAAGATTTATTTATCTAACTAACAAGACACAATGCGTTCTGTTTGCTTGAAAAATACTAGTCTGTAAACATAGCGTTTGGAAAGGGTTTGCTAGGTAATATAATACAGAGAACAAATAGTTTGATCTAGCATCAAAGATTTATTTATCTAACTAACAAGACACAATGCGTTCTGTTTGCTTGAAAAATACTAGTCTGTAAACATTGCGTTTGGAAAGGGTTTGCTAGGTAATATAATACAGAGAACAGATAATTTGATCTAGCCTCAAAGATTTATCTTAGTACCTTCAAAACACAATGCGTTCTGTTTGCATGATAAACACAAGTCTGTAAACATTGCGTTTAGAAAAAAAATCTATAGCGAGTAAACAACCTCTTATAGTTCATTTTATGTAGAATCTTATGTACTATAGGAATGTTTTAATTAGAAGATTATATTTTAATTATGCCTAGTGCACCATTGGCGTTGAGAGGATATGATACATTTTAATTAAAATGTCAGGAAATAATAGCTTTGACAATAAATTGATCTACATTAGAAGTGTGCGCTAAACTATAAATATTAATAAGTTGGCCTCCTTTTGCAAATTATTAATTATATGAATTTTCTAGAAGGGGTTACTTTATTTTAGTTCCATTCAATGTTTTGAAAAATGTATTACACTGGCAGAAGTAACTTTAATTGTAATAAGTTTGTTGTATAAGGAAAAAAAGAAACTCAAGAGAAAGATCAAGAGAAGTATCTTAAAACTATTAATAGAAACTTACCAAGATGATTTCACATTTCGCAATAAACTTTTCCTATTTGCCGGCGTGTAGGCATATTTATTGAAAACTGTTAGTGTTTTAT